GGGCTGACTGACATGGCACTTGCCTCCCTGCCCCAGCACCTGGCTGCCCAGCAAACCTACAACCACCTGGACATGAGTGTGGGCGAAGCCCTGAAGCAGAGGACACTGTGTCTGGAAGGAGTCCTTTCCTGCCAGCCCCATGAGAGCTTGGGGGAAGTCATCGACCGGATTGCCCGGGAGCAGGTACCTCGTGCCCCTTCATACATGCCCCCAGCACGTATGGCCCAGTCCCCATGAGCAGCTGCAGCTGTCCTTGGACACCGGACACCTGCCCTGTCCTCCCATTTTATGGCCATTTCAAGCTCTCAGTGTCCACACTGGTCTGCAACTGATCCTGCAACTGGAGATCTGTCCACACTGGTCTGCAACTGGTCCTGCTAAGGGCCACAGACAGCTGATCACCCCAGCGTGGTCAGAGCTACTTCTAACTGGTTTCTAGGAGATACTTTTCGGCTCCCCCACTTACGTCGTTGCCCCTTAGTCTTGGTGACAATCTCGTTGGTTACCATAGCTGCATGGCTCGAACCTCTCACTGATCCTCTGTGGACCCGCAGGTACACCGGCTGGTGCTAGTGGACGAGACCCAGCATCTCCTGGGCGTGGTGTCCCTCTCCGACATCCTTCAGGCACTGGTGCTCAGCCCTGCTGGCATCGATGCCCTCGGTGCCTGAGAATATCTGAGTCCTCACTCCCAGGCCGTCTTCCACACGCAGAAGCCAACGAAGGGAGCCAGGGAACACGGTCTCCATCTTTCCCCACCCCAGTTTGCTGGTTTGGCTGTGGTTCAGGTAGGCTCTGCCCTGGGCCATCGGCCTCAGCACCAGCCCATTGGTCTTCCTAGGCTCTCAGATCTCAGCCTGAGGCCCCCTGAGGATGGGGGTGCCCAGCTCACTGCTGAGTAGCCCCATGAAAACTACAAGTATCAGGACTCCCCGTGGGGCCCCCACTCTGTCCCATTCTCCACTGAGGTCATGAGGGTCATCACAAGAGGGGTGGACAGGGGCTGGGGTCAAGGCAAGGGCAGTGATGTGATTTCAGATGCTCTGGGGAGTTTGACCTGCCTTCTCGCAACTCAGCTCCCACCTGCTGGGAATCCCACTGGAAGGAAGCAAGTTAATAAACCTTTGTTGAACGGAATTTCCACGCTCAGTCAGAACTACGGCTGAAAGGAGGGGGCTTCTATCTAAGTAATCATCTCAGTAAATCCGACATGATCTCAGACTCCTTCCTGGTACCGTGTTGGCTAGGGGCTGGCTCAGATTCAACCTGCTTGGCAGTGGATGGCAAGACGAGGTTCCCCTACTGGAAACGCAACCTCTCCTGCCCACGTAGTCACTGTCTTGTCTTCTCTTTTCCTCACAGGCTTCACCAGCCCTCTGTCATTGCCCTTGCCCTGCCTGTGCTCCCAGAAGCCCTCAGGAATTCCCAGTCCTCCATGGGATGATGAAATTAAGAACAGCTGAGTCGAGCCTGGAGATCTATGAACCAGAGGCACTGAGATTACCCCAGGGCTGCCTGCTCCATGCCTACCCATATCACTTTCCCCCCACTGGCCCCAGTGGAGCGGCGAGCCCTCAGCCAGTTGGGTGTATTCAGGGGCTCTGGATTCCTCAGCTTCTGGACTACCTGGGAGGCCCTGCTATTCTTCCACACTACTAAGGGTGGCTCCCCACAACTTGGCCACTGCCCTTCTTCCCTCCCAGCATTGAAACAGCAGCCATGTGGAGAGCCTGTTGAGTGGGGTCCTCCCTCCATTCTCATCCCGAGCACCAGCAGTGTTCTCAGTCCCCAGTGACAGCCTGTGTTTGGATCACTGAGGATGAACACTGAGAGAACAAAAAGAAAAAGAACAACCAACCCGTGCACTTAAATTGTATAAGCTTCACTCCGAAAATGCTAGTCATTTGGTCTGAACTTGCAGCAAGAGCCCTGTGCTTTCTGAATTCAAAGACGCGAGGGAGAATCTGTAATTGACAAACGCTACCACTGGCCTTGCTTTTGTGCATAGAGTGTTAGTTTCTTTTTTCATTTTTTATTTATAACAAAACCATAAAGAAGATGTTAATTAGTTAATGACAGAGTAAGTGCAACTCAGTCCACAAACTCTAATCTGCTAGAGACAACTTTTTTTTTTTAAACACTGAACGTAATTCCTATTATGGACCCCATTTCACCAGGTGGTAGAAATTAATCTCCGTTTGGGGTTCACCCACCACCTTTTCCTGGGGTTAAATTCGGTGAGAAGGGGAGGCTTTGAGTAGTGGAAGACTTTGTTCCTCACTTATCATCAACCACACTTGTCAGAACCTGCTAAAATATTCCCATTCCCATCTCTCTCTCACTTGGTCGGTCACTGGCGGGCATGGACCCTGCTAGGTGCTCCTTCAGTCCCTACCACAAAGCCTCCTTGGGCCTGCCTTCTCTTGGGGCATGAAGACATTCTAGCTTCTGGACCTGCACCCCTCTGGGCTTCAGGACGCTGTGTGGTCCCAAGCACATCTGCTCAGGTGGACAGCAAGTGATCTGTTCTGCGCTGAGTTTTGCTGTGTGTGTGTGTGTGTGTGTGTGTGTGTTTAGCCCCTACCCTAGAAACATAGGGCACAGGGCTCTTCTTATCATCTCCTTATCATTTCCAAACCTCTCTGGGGTATTTATCATATTCACCTCCTCCCTTCAGACACAGCTCCCTTCTCAGGGGCCCCAGAAATGTCTACAGTCTCTTTGCCTCCCCACCCCCCACCAACCTATGGAATCTTCACCAGTGGGGCCTTTTTCTCTAACCCGTCATCCATTCTTCCCAGTCCACTGCATGTGTCTTGAGTTCTTGCCACCTGCCTTGAGGGTCAGGCTTTGGAAATTCCAAAGCCAAGGCCAGGCTTCGGTTATGCCATCCCTCCCCTGTGGCAGTGGACGCTGTCTGCTATCCAGTGGGGAGAGGAGAGGTTAATATTTCTAAAATATGATCCCACCACATTTACCTCACAGAGCAACAGAGTGGAGACATTTGTGCTTGATGAGTCAGGCAGTAAATGAAGGCATTTTCTCACAGACACTCAGCTTCTGTTTCCGACTTTGCCATAACCCATGGGTCAGTGCTGGTTCTGCTCTGGCCCTGCCTGGGAAGGTCCTGGGCCTTGGGCTCAAGTGGGAGGATGGGGGTGCTTCTCTGGGCCTTTCTCAAGTGACAACCTTGGGGAGCCTGGGGCAGGCTGCCTCCTGCTGCAGCCGACTGTGGGGAATGTGTAGCAGGGTCAGTCCTTTGAGGTGGTGTCCCAGGTTGCTCTGCGTGAGCAGACCGTCAGGTCAGCCCAGGCGTTCGGTGGAAAGGGCAGCCTGAGGAAATCACTCTCTCCCCCTCCTGCTCCCCCCCAAGAGTAGATAGGTCTCCAACCTCCTGGGCCCACCATCCTGAGGACCCAACAGTTACCCCTTGGGCCCTTCTCCCCAACCCTCAGTTCCTGACAGCCCTCCCGCATCATGGCTGCTAGAAAAGAGGCAAAGGGTTGCCATGGGGACTACTCCCGCCCCAACTCTGAATAAAAGTATGAAGGCCAGCCACTCTGCTGGCTCCTCTGTTCATACCTAGGAACCCGGGGCTGGCCAAATGGTGCAGGCATCATTGCCTCCATGCCCCCGACTCCTGCCCTGACCCCCGAGGCCCCTCCGAGGTTCTGTGACCTCCAGGCCGGACTCTCATCCACCTCTCTCATCATCTCACATCACCTCAGCAGTTATCAACCCTGGCTGTGCCACAGGATCCCCAGGGGAGCTTTATAAGATGGTAATTCCAAGGCTCCGTTCCTAGAGAGATGCTAATTTCCTGACTTGGGGGGTGCGACCAGGGCAACTGTATTTTTTTGTAGAAACTAGAGGCTTGCGATGCATAACACGTGATGGGCACGATAGCTTGCTGAGAAATACAGGCGCCTCATTTCCATAATTAGGAAAATCGTCTGTCGCCCTATGGCATCTATATTATTTGTTATGACCAAGATCTACAAGAAGAGCTGGCTGAAACCAGGGGCACAAGGTAGAAGATACACGATTTGCTGGCATTCTCGCTAGCCTTACAAACATGTGCAAATACAGAAGAATTCAGCACAGGGTTACGTTATGTCCATCCCCTGATGACAACTGTCAGAATTTGTATTGGACGTGCACCTTACATCTGGAATCACAAATAATGAGCTAGAACTGAACTAATATTAATGAGCCAAGATACATCAAGAGCTAAAACATCTGTAGAACACGAGCATGTAGACAACCAGAAAATATTGGGTACTCGGTCTATTTTTACTCCTGGGAGTGCTGCATAAATGTTTAAGAAGACAAGCTGATGTCAAGGGGCACCTGCATGGCTCGGCCAGTTAAGCACCTGACTTGATTTCAGCTCAAGTCACGATCTCACGATCCATGAGATCTGTGCTTACGGCATGGAGCCTGCTTGGGATTCATTCGCTCTCTGTCTCTCTCTCTCTGTCTCTCTCTCTCAAAAATAAATAAGCATTAAAAAGAAGAAGAAGAAGAAGAAGAAGAAGAAGAAGACAAGCTGATTCCTTAAAGTCTTACCCAAAAATATGGATTCTAATTGGATCCAACAAGTTCAAATTAGCTGGAAAGGGAGTAATGAGATGTGCACATTGTTTTCGGTCAAGAGCGTATCTCCTGTGCTGAATTAATGTCCACTTATCCGTAATTATCCTAATTCCTATTGTTCTTTCCTCGCAGTCAGATCAGGGTGGATAATCGGGGAGCCTCACTGTGACAACACTTCTCTGTGACTTATGTGGGCAGCTCAGAGTCCTCGAGACCCCAGCCCCACCGTGGTCTGAAGGAGCAGACACTGGAAAAGGCAGAAGTTGCTGAGTGACCTGGTGACAGAAATCTCGCACCCCACCCCCTGCCCCGAGCCCGGCCCCCATTCTCTGCATTTATAGGGACCGCTCACAGGTGGATCCCTGCACAGGTAGTGGACAGCTATGCCCTCAGAGTCAGGAATTCCTCCCAGTTCTCTCCAGATCGCTCCATACAGAAAGCTCTGTATCCTCCCCTCTTCTTCCTTCCCCTGCCTACCATCCCAGCCTCTTCTCATTTAACATTTTTTAATCGCCTCCTAGGTGCTAGACACAGAGTTGCTCACTGGGCTCCAAACTGAAAGGAACTTGGTTTGTGCCCTCTGGTGGGTGCACAGCTCGGGGGGGAGACCGTGGGGTCTCCAACAAGGTGAACAGGTTGAGCGCTCAGTTCTCTCATGTGGGTGGGGAGGTGGGGAGAGCACAGAGGAAGTGCTTGTGCTCCCCCCAGAGAGGTCAGGGGAGGCTTTTCAAAGGCAGTGACATTTGAGCTGAGCCCTAAGGAAGGGCAAGTTCTCTGGGATGACGTGGCAGTTGGTGAAGAGACTGTTCCAAGAAGAGGGGACACGAAGAACCAAATATTGAGGCCAGAAAGAGCATAACGTGCTAGGCAAATACAAGGAGTTGAGGTTCAGTTGTGGAAAGGGTGTCTGGGCAGGGAGTGGGGGTGGCGGGCAGGGTGCCAGAGTCTTCTAAGCCATGATAAGGACTTTGGACTTTGCTTCATGCCTGAGGGAAGCCTCTGAAGGATTTTAATAAGGGCAATGATATGACTTTCTTTATCCTCACAAACAGAAGAGATTTGATTTTAGTTTTCT